ACCTTCATGCGCGCCTCTCTCCTCGACAAGTGGACTGACGGCCGCACAGACGCACCGATGCCAGGCACACGCACACCTACACACGAAGGAATGACACCGCACACGACACTCACTCACACAGACACACACACCTGCCCGACTGCTGCTTGCTTGTGCACCCGCCTGCAGTGAGTGACACATCGTCGTGCAGCAGTCGCCTCACGCGCCGGGGACACCCCGCAATGAACGACGACCGGCGACTGCAGGCAAACCAGCACACGAAAGACAACAATCACACACACAATCACACACAATCAGCAGATAGATAACCAAATCAAATGCCGTCTGACTCTCATTGATCAATGAGATGATTCACCCACCTGTCTGACAGCAGGCTACTGACGGCGCCCCCCATGACAATGGCGGAAAGCACCAGCAGCAACTGCACCAGCGGCAGCAATCGCAGCAGCGGCAGCACAACCACAGCGCGATGGACGCAGCGAAGCATATATTAGACCATGGCCGCCATCAGAGTCTCCTGCTCTGTCTGCTTCTCTCGCGAGGGATTTCTCTTTCCCCTGCGAGCTTGGCAACAAAGGCCAAGAAGAAGGGGCGGCTCAGGATGGCTGACAGGGTGAGTGACACTGGCAGACAGCAAAGCGAATACCTCCATCCATGAAATTGCGTATGTGTGTTGTGTGCGCGTGTCAGGAGGACAGCACGCTGCTGCTGGTCAAGTTTTCAACGCACCGTGACTCGCGCACCTACGTCGAGTACAGGGACCTCAAACACGCGCTGGAAGGTGGGCCAGCTGGCAGCAAGCAGCCAGCCACTGTGCAATTGATTTGATTGCCACTGGTCGTGTCTTCGCGTGGTGTGTGCAGGTGTGTGTCAGTTGTACGAGTCTGGCCTGAAGGCTGTCAACCCCAATATCCGGAACATCACCTACGACCTCAATGACCTATTCGGTACTTCTGATGGTGGATGGCGGACCACCATATCTGATCTGCACGGCTGGCTCTCTTTGCTCTCTTTGCAGGTTACATCAATTCATTGCAGGAGATCGTGTGTTTCACGCCCACGCTGGACCGGGAGCGGCGGGTGGTGGGCTACAGGCGGCTGGACCGGGCGCAGATCAAGGACGCCCTCTTCACTCACCTCAAGAGACAGGCTGAGGACAGCTGAGCTGAGCGGCCGCCATGTATTGTGATCGTACAGCTACCAGCTGGTAGACAGACAGACTGCCGGTCGGTGCATTCACACGTCAGGCCCTTCATCCACGTGGCACATGCACACGTGTGTGGTGTGCGCGCGTGGATGGACCGCCCTGTGTGTGGGTGTGAAGGGTGTCTGTCTGTCTGTCTGTTTGCGTCAGCAAGAATGCGTAAGAAAGGAAAGACGGCGTGTGCAGGTTGGGGGAGGGGAGGGGGGGGTTTTTTGTCTGTCTCCGCGTGAGTGAGTGAGTGAGTGGGCAGCAGGAGCGAGCCAGGCAGGTGGGCTGTTTATCTATCTGTGCATACGACGCGTGTCTGTGTGTGTGTCCGTGTGTGTGTGCGTGTGTGTGTGTCCATCCGTGTCGACCTCCACACGTGTGGGCTTCTTCATGTGATGATTGACCTTGATCTTGACATGTGATGATTCTAGAATGGTTGATCGAATTAGTCAAGAAGGAAGTCAGTGGAGCGATGGCTGAGAGAGAGTGAGTGAGTGAGTCAGTGCACAGCAAAGTATCGACACACACACATTCAGACAGCCACACACACATGCACAGCATGCACGAACGGACAGACAGACGGCCACACAGATAGAGACGCAACAACACACACACACACACACACATTTGAGTGCGTTACAAATAAGGAGTGTGCACCCACACACTCACACAGCAGCCGCCCACACGCAGAGAGAGAGAGAGAGAGATGGGGGGCAGCCATGCACCTATGGCATCGCATCAGGGCGGCTAATTTGCCTTCCTGTCTGTCTGTCTCACTGAGTGGCTGGATCGGGTCGACCGAAGGAAGAGGCCACCGCCCCCCCGGCTGTCTGTCTACACGTCTGTACGATCAAGTTGCTATCTTTCGGCCAGCCACTGGCAAAACTCAACGGGAGGGATGCAGGCGGCCAACTGCTGTACACTGACGCACCAAGGAACGCAAAGAGGCAAACAAACCGGCAGACACAGAAAAAGGCCGACATCATGGCCATCTCATCAGGCAGGCAGGCAGTAGCTTGCAGACGTCCTTCTCTACATCAATCAGTCGACCAGGCCAGCGAGTTGGTATATGTGTGAGTGTGTAATGTGCGTCATAGGAGCGATCAGGTCATTTTTGTGTGTGTGTGTGGACAGGAACGGGTGCCGCATAGCGTATGGGTGGTCGCATCACGCTTAAATCAACGCGCACCCATCCACAACTCATCCACACCCACAGAGCGATCTGTCCGTCTGTCTGTCTACCCGCCTCTCTCTCTGTCTCTCGTGCGTCTACACGTATCAACACACCGCACCGCGCCGCACCCGGACACATACACACCACACCACACACCACACCCTTTTCTGTCTCTTTCTTTCTGTCTCGTTAATTATATTATCGCAACGCACACACAAGACGCATAGGCAGATAGATTAGATGTACATCCGGCCACGTCACCTTCCCAAAAGCGACCGATCGATCACCGATGCTTGGCTGTTTCCTTTGCCTCGACCTTCTTGGACTGCGGTGAGGCTGTGGACGCCGGGCCCCCGTAGAACTGCGATATGTAGATGAACACGCCCTGCACACAATACCCAGGCAGGCACCACAGACAAGACAGCACAGAGAGACCGGCGGTCACAGGGGAGTGTGGGTGTGTGTGTGTGTGCCTTCCGAATTGTATGTGTAAGTGTGTGTGTATGGGTACCAGGACGACTACGATGATGATGAGGTTGGTGCCGAGGTTTCTGACCCACGCCGGCACCCGTGGCTTTGCCTTGTGCTCCTCCTCACCTACCACACACACACACACACACACAAACACACACACACACACGTGTGTGTGTTTGTGTGTCTGTGGGTGGATGGGTGGGTCGTTGTGTGTGCCGACCGACCTTGGACCTCTACGCCGGATCCTTGTCTTAGTTTTTTGGCCTCCTGCTGCTCAAGGATGCTGTTCAAGACAATCACCAGCCTCGCACCGGCAGTCAAGATGCGCTGCTGCATCTCCTGCACACACATACGCCGATAGAGAGATAGAAACCAGCGGCATGGCATCCGTAAGTGCGTAGTGTACCTGCCCCCATTGCCTCTCCATGTGTGGAGTGGTCTTGAAGTCGGGGACGAGCCTGACGTTCTGGGTGGGGTCCTTGTACACCTTGTTGCACGCCACCTGCAGAGACTCGCTCGCCCACCTGCACACAAGCAGCAGCAGCAGACCATCACTACCGCGAGACGAGACGAGGTGTGGTTTGTTTGGTCAAGTGAGCACCCACCTCTCGAACAGCTCGAAGTCCTTCTCGGCCCACTCCTTCTTGTCGTTCTCATACTGGCTCTTGACCGAATTGACGTGCGTCCACCCACCGTACCAGAAACCTTTACACACACACCCAGCCGCACACACACGTGTATGTGTATGGCTACCGATCTCGCTGTGTGTGAGAACTGACTGGTGTGCGTACCGGGCCGTTCAGCCATCATGGTTTGTGTGAGGGTGGTGTCCCATATCTCGTATAGTGAGTGGGGCTTGTTCTTGAAGGTGCCGTTAATCGCACGGCCCATGTCAGACGCCTTGAAGCCGACCTGACGAGTGCATCGCACACACAGCAAGTGGTGCACTCTCTGTGTGTGTGACGGTGTGTCTCTCTGTGTGACGGTATGTGTGTGTGTGTGTGTGTGTGTGTGGTGGGCTGGGATGTGTACGTGTAATGGCTGGTGCAGGTCGCCGATCAGGTTGATTAGGTACTTCAGGCAATCGGCGTCCGTGAAGTGAATCCCTGACATACACACACACACACACACACACACACCAGACACACAGAGGGAGAGAGAGAGAGAGAGAGGACAACGATACTAGGTGGCTCTCCATCCCAAGCTTATCTCATGTTACCTTCAGGGTACTTCATTTCGACAAGTTTCTTGCCGGTCAGCCGGCCGTAGAAGTGCTTCAGAGCCGCAAGGAGGCACTTGTTGTCGGGGCACTCTGACACGTCAATCTTGTCACACCGCCACTCGGTGTCCGGCTCTCCGCCAGGCTGTGGCTGGAAGTGGAGTGCGGTTGTCCAGGGGTACTGCTTGTTGACCTTGTGCGCCCACTCGGACACGTCCACGGCGTCCTTGCCGCCCATCAGCCGCTTCAGCTGTGCCAGGGCTTTCCCCTTGAGGGCCGACATGGCCGTCATGCCGATGGCCTCGTGGCCGTCTTTGTCCCACGCTCGTGCTTGGTTGTCCCGGCTGGTCATGAAGAGCGCCACGAACGACACCCACGCCCTCCATGAGAAGAGCAGCATCTGTTTCAACAGCAATTAAGCAGCTGGCAGCCGGCTGCCGGCCGGTCTGTGTGTCAGTCAGTCGAGGTCAGTCGAGCAGCGGCAACCACGGCTGAAAACAGACAGATCCTGTCGCCTCTGCTGTCCTCCCTAGTGATGCTGCGCTTGCGGCGTTCTCTCTCCGCCAGGAAGGCGATCCGAGCTCGCAGGTGGAAAAGGGGAAAAGGGGCAGAAGTGAGGGGCCAGGCGTTGGTGCTCTGTTGCGGCGGCAAAACCAAAGTAGTTTGCGACAGAGGGGACGATAGCTGGTGCCCTTTGATCTCTCGCGAGAGGGCGGTCTGGTGTACGTCTGGTGTGGAGAGATGAGCCGAAGGCGAAATGGGCAGTACCTGTCTGACGATGTCCTGAGAGCCTTTTCAAGGGTGGGTACTGCTGCCGGCAGGTGCCCCCTGCTGTGCTGCACTGTGTGTGCGCGTGTGTGTGTGTCGGTCAGGGTGTGGACGCCGCGCGAAGGGGCGAGGTGTCGGACCTGCTGCACAGGTTGCGGACACTGCAGTCGCGCGACACCGACAGTGGTGATGGTGATGATAACGTCGACACGAGAGGCAGGGGGAACGGTGAGTGCAGTGCAGTGTGCAGTGCAGTAGAGTACAGACTCTCACACAGACGCACCCACTGTGGCTCGGCTCTCCGGTTGTTGATGCAATCAATGCAGATGTACAGGCGGCCGAGGAGAGAGGCAGGGGCAGGAGGCGCGTGCACGGCCGGGTGGACGCTACCGCTATCGAAGGCAAACGGCTCGCTGAGCTGCTCGCCCAGAACTGCGGTGAGGTAGAGAGGAAGAAAGAAACAAAGTAGAAAAGTGGCTCGATTGCTGGGCATGGTTATTTATTGCCCTCCTGGTGTGTGTGTGTGCCTGTGTGCGTGTGTGTGTGTGGCCATTCATTCAGGTGCGTGTCTGATGGAGATGCGTGACAGCGATGCGTTCGCGTCGACGTCTGCTTCTGCTTCTGCCTCCGCTTCGGCCAGTGCCACCAGCGCCAGTGCTGAGAGTGCGAGGGCCGATCAGCTGGGGCTGATCGACTCGTGTGAGCATGTCTTCCACACCTCATGCATACAGGTGGGCGGGGCGGTTTACCAACACACGTACACAAGTGCGACCCACAGGCATCGGTGCTTCTCCTTGTGTGTGGGGTGTGGGGTGCGCGATGTGTCAGCGTTGGTGCGCCAAGGAGACTTCTTGCCCACAGGTTGGTTGGTCCTTGTGTGCGGGAGGGAAAGCATCTACATATTCGTTCGACCCTCTCTGTTTGCCTGATTTCTTGTCCCCCCCGTCGTCAACTGTTGTCTCAGTGCAAGCGGCCCTGTTGCGCCATCATATCCTATAACAAGGCCGACGGCTCGCACATCGACACTGTAAGCTAAGCGGTGGCTCACTCGTACACGCACACGTGCGTCCGCTCGATGGATGGATGGATGGACGGACGCCCCATGCCTGTTTGTTACTCGTGCAGGTGTTTCTCGAATCCCGCCGTCTGGTGGACTCCCCCGACCTCTATGACGACCTCAGTGACCACAGCCTCGGGGACGACCAAGACGCCGCTTCCGACACTGACACAGACAACACAGAGACCACAGAGACGACGGAGACGACAGAGAGGGACTCGGTCCACAGCATGAGACACATGAATATGGAGCGAGACGATCGCAGCAGCAGCAGCGGCAGCAGCAGCAGCGGTGACGGCCGGTCGGTCATCGAAGTGGACGACTCGGTGCTGCAGGAAATGGCCGCCATGGCCGTACAAGCACAGCCACAGGCGCAGGGCGAGGCCGACTATGATTGCGATGACGGTACGTATGCCCGATCTCCATCCATCCATCCCATCCATCTGTCCACACGTGGCTGGTTGGCTGGATGGCTCAGATGTGTTGTCTGGGAGTGAGTCATCGTATGATGGGCGAGAGGATGACCAGCAAGAGGAGGACGACGACTGGCAGCAGTGGATGCCCGAACCAGGTACGCCGCAGCTCAGCTCGTGTCCCTTTGTGTGTGTCCGCCTGGCCTGGCCCTTCCCCATTTGTGGGTGTGGGTGTCTGTGCCTGCAGGTTCTTGCCCTCGGATCGACATTAGGTTGCGCAGACAGCCCCCCGCCGACCTTCTTTCCGGCGATTTTGACCACTTGATCATTGCTCATGGCGAGGACAGCGACAGCGACCGTGACAGTGATGCTCTGTCTTTATCTGAAATCAGCTAGCTGATGGATCTGATCTATGTATGGGTGGGGGAAACGTACATCTGTTTTGTTCGTATGCGTGTGTGTCGGTCGGCACGGCATCGATGGAATAAAGTCTTTTTTGCGCATCGATGGACGCAAGGATGCGAGCACACACACATGGATGGAGGGAGGGATGGATGGATGACAGAAATCTTTTGTTGCCCGGCGAGAGTGTGCGTGTACCATAACTTTTTTCGCGTGGGTATGTTCGTTCGTGTCGTCCTCGGATTGAACTGACACCTACAGAGAGAGTGCCGAGTGGCGTCAATTTTGTCCACGCACACACGAATTGAACACGGCCACGCCACACACATCCATCCATCCACTGACGCGCGCACACACAGACATATATGTCACAAAATCAGACCGCCTTCAAAACACCCACACCACCACATGACATCCCTCACATCTAGCTGCCCTTGACCTCCCCCGCCCGCTCGCCCACCCCGTTCGTCACATCCGCCGTGCCGCGGAGCTTGGCCTCGCCGTCTTGGTGCCGCCAGCCGCCTGCTGCTGCTGCAGCAGCTGCAGCCGATCCCGCGAGTGCTGCTGATGCTGCTAGTGGTGCAGGTGATGCTGCTGCTGCTGCTGCCGGCTGTGCCTGCATCTGTGAAAAACACACACACACACAGTGCTTCTGGGGTGCAGAGGGAGGCATGGCAGAGCGGCCTACTTACTTCTGGCTTCATGGCAGGGAAGAGTATGACCTCCTTGATGTTGTTTTTGTCGGCGAGGAGCATCGTCAGCCGGTCGATGCCCAGCCCCCAACCACCTGTCGGCGGCAGCCCGTACTCGAGAGCCGTGCAGTAATCCTACACGAACGACCAAACACCCAAACAGACACACGTCTGTCGGTTAGGAGAGAGAGGGGAGGGGAGGGGAGGGGAGGGGGCCGCATACCTCGTCGATTGGCTGCGCTTCGTCGTCTCCCTGCGCCTTTGCTTTGGACTGGCTGAGGAAGCACTCTCTCTGACGCTTGGGGTCGTTCAGCTCCGTGTACGCGTTGCAGATCTGTGCGGACAGGGATGGGTGGATGTCTCTCTCTCTCTCTCTCCGCGTGTGTGTGTGTGTGTGAGTGTGTGTATGTGTGTCCATCCACTGCATAAACATACCTCTCTGCCGACGACGAAGAGCTCGAACCGCTCGGTGAGGTGGGGCTTGGAACGGTGCCTGCCCAAGGGCATGGCATGTCCATCCCACACGACCAGGAGGGTGTGCGCGTATGTGCCTACCACTTGGCGAGTGGGCTCATCATCTGAGGGTGTTCGGTGATGAAGGTCGGGTGCACAATCTTGTCCTCAATGAAGTGACCGCACAGCTGATGGATGACACACACAGAGCGAATCCCTCTCTCTCTCTCTCTCTGACCTGACCTTGTCCATGAGCTTTGCTGCGGTGCGCGGCTTGGGGGGCTCGATGCCGTGCTTGACCATGATCTGACGACAGACCGACACACACATGACCTTATGTGTGTGCGCCATTCCGCGTGTGCATACCTTCTCCATGGCGGCGACACACTCGGGGCTGTCGTATGGCGTCGGCAGCTTCTCGCCCGACTGCTTCTCGATCTCTGCAACCAACAAACATACACACGTGTCTGTGCTGTGTGTGTTGGCTGTGCCGGCTGACTGACCTTCGACCATGGACACGCACTTGAAGGGCGTCTTGAAGTCGATTTCCACCTCTGTGATGATGTGAAAGTGCAGACGACACGGGTGGGATGGGTGCAGGGCATTGTGGGTAGGGTGTAGGTGGGGTATTTTGTGGTGTGTGTGTACCTGGTCCATCCGGCCCGTCCGGGTGGTACTTGACCTTGTTGGAACCTGCACACACACACACACACTCGTTGAAGCTTCCATAAATTTCTCTGTGTGTGTCTGTCTGTCTGTGTGTCTCTCCGTGTGTCTGTGTTGCGTACCCTTGATGCCCTGTATCATGGTGCAGAGCATCTGCTCGGTCATCTTCATCAGGTCCTGGTAGTCGGCATACGCCTACCCACGCACCCACCCACCCACACACACACATCCACTCATCTGTCTGTGCTTTGGACCACCCCACCCACCGATGCACCCACCACCCACCATGTAGAATTCGCATGAGGTGAATTCGGGGTTGTGTGTCATGTCGATCCCTGCACACACCACACCACACCACACAACATCAGATCACATTACTGACACACGCAGCACAGCACAGCACAGCACCAACAGCAGCGCACGCACCTTCGTTGCGAAACAGCCGCCCGATCTCGTACACTCGGTCCATCCCTCCGATGATCAACATCTGCCATGCCAGCCGCCACACACACCTGTCTGGCTGGCTGGCTGGCTGGCTGGCTGTGTGCCTGTCTGTGTGGGTGTGAGAGACCGAGCGAGCCTCTGTCTCTCTTACCTTGAGGTAGAGTTCGGGTGCGACCCGCATGTAGAGGTCGAGGTCGAGGTCGTTGTGGTGTGTGACGAAGGGCCGCGCAGAGGCGCCCCCGGGGATCATGTTCATCATGGGCGTCTCCACCTACCACACACACCACACACAGATGGATTGATGTGATGACAGACACACACTCGACTGGCTCGTCTGGGGTGGTGGGTTGGCGGGATACCTCCAGGAAGCCTCTCTCCTCCAGAAACTGGCGGATGTGGGCGATGATCTTGGCTCTGCACACACACACACACACGCATTGCCCTGGTGTGGATCCGCACCTAACCTACCTGGTTCTGAAGGTGGCCCTGACGTCGTCGTTGATGATCAGATCCAGGTACCGCTTGCGGAACCGAACCTGGTGTGACCCACGGGAGGGAGGGACAGAAAGAGAGAGAGAGAGAGTGCAGCAGAGCAGCAGATATGCACACGGGCGCCCCGCCCCGCACCTCCATATCCTTCAGGCCCATCGTGGCGGTCGGCATCCTGTCAGTCAACCCACGGAACGCAACGCACGGCGAAACGTACACGCGACGGCGTCTGTGTGTGTGTGTGTGTGTGTGTGTCCGTGTTGGCGTACATGTGAAGGCACGGCGAGAGCAAAGTGATCTCTCTGGGAAAGATCGACAGCTCGCCAGACTGAGACTTGCCTGAACCATCCATCCATCTCTGTGGGCATGTCGCGTGTGTCGCGCGTGTTGTGTGTGTACCGACCAGGGAAGCCTCTAATGCCGATGTAGTCGCCCCGCCGGATCTTGTCGTGCATTTCGAAAAAGTCGCCCACAGACTCATCGTGAAAGGAGTAATTGGCCAGCACCTTCATACACACACACACACACACAGAGAGAGAGAAAGAGAGAGAGAGAGTGCGTGTGTGTGTGCGATCGGAGGGAAGCACCACCTCACACGCATTGCATCGACACACATACCTACCTGGACTTTGGCGTCTTCGCCGCGCAGGTCGTAGAATCGCAGTTTCTGCCCCGACTGGCGAATCGACGCCACGCGGCCTGCATTTCGCAATTTCACCAGATCAATGTGTTTACGAGGGTGCGTGTGTGCGTGTGTGTGTGTGATCTTTGACAGGTGGCGACCTGCAAGCATGACTTGGGTGTCCTGGAGCTGCTCGTTGGTGGCGAGGTGGCTGTACTTCTCGATGTACTCGGGGATCCGGTCCAGCACTCGGTCCTCTCCCTGAAAGTGCACACACACACACACACACACACACAGAACAAATGGACCGATGAGTGAGTGAGTGAGTGAGTGAGTGGGTCACTGGTGCATTCATCATTCCTCGACTGATTAATCACCTCGTCTGTGCGTGCCGGGAACTTGTGTGGGTATGGCGCCCTGCCGCGGGTCTTCATGTCCTCCACGAAGCGGCACCGCATCTCGTAGTACGCCGAAGGGTCCAGCTGGTCGTCGGCGGCCGCCTGAGATAGATCATCGGTCGACCGACCGACGCACAGATTTCAACCATCCGTGTCGGTCGTTTGTATACACGTGTGTGTGTGTGTGTGTGGTGTCACTGCGGCTGTGCCTGTACCCCTGTGAGCGGCTTGGCCTTGGGTGCTCCTGCAGCCTGTGCCGCCTGCAAGGGAGTCAGTGAGTGAGTCGGTCGACAACACACCACCCACACTGTGGTCTGTGCTCTGCGTGCACCACCGCTGACACGTGTGTACCTTCTTGGCCTCTTTGTCGGCCTTCTGCTGCTGCAGCTTCTCGGCCTTCTTCTGACGACGCCGCTCCCTGACACACACACACACACACACACACATATATATATATATATGCATCTGTCTGTCGGCCTGAGAGTGTAAGGTTCAGCGTGTGCGCTGCGCTTACGATGCGCTCATCTTTTCTCCTCCAAGCTGCCCGCCCTCATCCGGGCAATCACCCTCGTCCACCACTTGCTGCTGCTCGGGATCTTCTCCTGCTGCCGCAGCTGCAGCTGCAGCTGCAGCAGCAGCAGGAGCCTGACCGTGGCATACACAGACAGACACGCAGCCAGGGAGAGAGGGAGATGTGCTGTGGCTTGGCGCGTGGAGTGTGCTCACATCGTTGTTTGGGTGAGGATCTGCCGCTGATGCGCTCGACATCGCTCCCACGCCTCCTTTCAGACGACAACTGACGCCGCCACGTGGTTGCACTTGTTGTCCGACGGGTAGAGCGGCCGCTCCTCTCGCCACTGTCTGGTGTGCCCTGGTCCTCGCCACACAACACAGAAAGGAAGCACAGAACCGCCAGCACATGCACTGCGAGCTTTGCGAGCTTTGGAAGGGAATTGAAAAAAAAGAGGAGGAGGATGGCGGATTGTGCACGTGTGGGCGGAGGGAGGGGAGGCGGAGGTGAGATCACGTGATTGCTGGTTGATATTGATCTACAGGTACACAGACACAGACAGACAGGCAGACAGGCAGACAGGCAGACAGACAGGCAGGCGGGGCAGAAAGGCGGACAGAGATGGGCGGACAGACGATTGATCCATTCATGAGTTTATCTCTCTCTGTCTGTCTGTCTGTCTGTGTGTCTGTGTGCAGGAGGCTGGATCGTTTGTGTGTGTATGTCCCTGCCTCCCCGCGGCGCCCTGCACCCCCAACCACACCCACACCCACACCATGACTTCATCGACGGCACCGGCAATGTCAATCTCATGGGTGCGAGATGGATCGATGGATGGATGGATGCATGGATGGATCAGTCCATCACACACACACACACACACACACAACCTGCATGCCCGTGTCGCTCACCCGCAGGTGGTCACCATGACTATGCGGCGGCCACGGGTGCCACCATGGACGGCCATGCTGGCATGATGCACCACACTCACGAGTGGGGCCACGGTCATGGCCATCCATACCACCCTCACCCTCTGCACTACGGTGCTGCTGTTGCTGCCGCTGGTCCTGGTCCTGGTGGTGTTGAAGGGGGCGGTGAGCACGAGATCGATCAGCAGCAGCAGCAGCCGCCTGGGGCTGCTGGAGGTGGGGGTGGGGGTGGGGTGCAGTGGCACGAGGGGCTCTACTATGTCGACGAGAGCGGAGCCGCGGTCAGTCAGCTGGCTGGCACCGTCACACACACGTGCAAATCAGACTATATGCACATCAGAATTGTGTGTGTGTGTGTTTGTCTGATGAATGGAATGCTGTGTGAGTGAGTGCAGGACACCCCCACGTTGTGCCGATTCGACCCTTACGAAGAGCTCATTTGGCTTGGTGAGCTGAGCCAGTGGGTGGGTGGGTTGGTCGGGGGGTGGGCTGAGTGAGAATCCATCCCTCTCTCTGTCTCTCTCTCTCTCTCTCTCTCTGTGTGTGTGTGTGTGTGTGGCAGGCACCCGATCCTCCCGGCTGTGTTCGCTGTCTCTGCCCAATCTCGCGCGACACACGGCTTTCCCTCTCCCCGGTAGGTGATGGGTTGGCGGGGGGGGGGGTTCCATTGAATGACACACGTGTGCACAAGGCACATATATAAACCACAATGAATGTTCCGCGTGTGCAGGTGACGGGAGCGCCAGAGGCCTGGTTTTCGGCGAGGAGGGCGTCCTGGCGGTAGGCGAGCATCCACACACGGATGGATGGATGGATGGGCGTCTGCCTGCCTGTATCGATGCGATGCAGCTGACAGACAAGTGCCTTCACTTCTGCACACGTGGGGGCGCGCCCATGACGCTGCTCGAGCACGGAACAGCTTCACGGTACAGCCCCCACACCCACAGAGGGAGAGACAGAGAGAGACAGAAATCGTATGTGTGTGTGTGTGCACAGCTTGTGTTCCGAGGGCAACCGGCTCCTGGCGATGGACATCTACCACCGCCCCCACAGCGAGTCCCAAGCCAACATGATCGTCTGTGGCGGGGAGCGGCCGACTCTGTTCTTCCTCGACATCAACCTGGGCACTCTCGCCTTCGCCATGGACCTCACACACGGCGTCTATAGCATGTACGAGCCTGGCGTGTGCACACGTGTGTGGGGCTGAGTGGCTTGCTCTCTCTCCGTGTGTGTGTGGTGGGCGTCAGGTGCGCGGGGCCGTCGCATCTGTGTCTGGGGGGCACCGACGGGAGGGTCTCATTCATGGGTATGTGGGACTCCCACACACACACAGAGAGAGAGAGAGAGAGACATACGTGTGTGTGTGTGTGTGTGTAGACTATAGAGTGCCCAAAGTGGTTTGCACCCTGGCCGCCCACTCAGGATACGTCACCTCAGTCACCGAACAGGGTGCGTGCTCGTCGTCTTCACACACAGACACACACACACACATAAAGGCGATTGCGTGCGTGTGCAGGTCCCTTTGTGGCCACGTGTGGCGTCTCCCCCTCTGCGCGAGGCGGCAAGAGCAGCATCGACGACACTGCTAGTGTGTCGTGCGACCCCTTCGTCAAGGTCTTCGACATGCGGATGAGGAGAGAGACGCATCCGTA